TGTGTGTGTCTGTGTGTGTGTGTGTGTGTGTGTGTGTGTGTGCGTACATGCATGCGTGTGTGTGTTTGATAGACCCTAACATGATCAGAGTTGTTCTATGTGCAGTTATAACTTTTGACTTTCCATTGTATAACTTACAATGTCAAATTACAGCATTATATAGAATTCACCCTCGGTGGGAAAGAAAAAAACTTTCTCATGACAGAATATTGAGGAATAAGAATGGATAAATCAGGGAAACTACAGAAGGAGATGAAGGAATACCGTTGTGGCAGTAATGGCTTCTTCAAGCTTCCTCAGATGTTCTTTTGATGAAGGTCTGAGAGAGTCCAAATCCAGTTGATCTTTAATTATTCTCAGCTCAATATCAAGCTTTTCCAGATCATTCAGTAATGTCTGTGCACAGTTATCACACTCTGAAAAAAAAAATCACACTCACCGTTACGAAATAGCACAGGACAAGATAACAAAAGGAAATACTGAAAACAAAAATGAAACCCTGTGGTTTGTGTGAAAATCCTCTACCTTCACACTGCTCTTCTGTATTTGTGTCTTGGAGCTCCAGAGAATTCCTGCACACTATGAAAGACACAAGACATATTGTGAATGAAGTTATTCAGAGTTTACACAAGATTATTCAACCCTCCATTGCAACATCTATCTATCTATCTATCTATCTATCTATCTATCTATCTATCTATCTATCTATCTATCTATCTATCTATCCTTTTTACATTAGAACATTATTTTCATGGCAAATGGCAAATATGCACATTCCGAAATTTTCAACCAAATGTTCATTACTGTACAAAAAGTAATATTTGTTGTACTGCCGTTAATTTATTCTTGTTTTGATTTTTTTAAGTAAAAAACGAAATAAATAACTATTAATTTAAAAAAATACTAGGAATTGCAAAATAAATCCTCAAAAGCAAAACATCCATATGCATTATGATGTTTTTGAATATTTTTGCAGTTTGGCTTTGAGAAATGCTGGCTAATTTTTTGTTATCATTTTGAGTTGAAATGTGATATTCACCCACGAAGGGCTAAATGCATACAGTATAACGCACAAACAAACACAGACCTCCAGTCTTAGAGTCACACAGGTTTCCAGGACAGTTGCACAGACGACAGCGGCCACCGTAGAGCAGAGGATCGCCGTAATATCCTGGAGCACATCTGAGGAGACATGAGCATCTCTACAGTGCATGCATAACATCAAACAGATGCAGTGCTCCAAAATCACTTGTGAATCTCTTGTTTTGCTCTGTTATTACCAAATCTTGGATTCAATCTTTTTATCAACTTGTTATCTTTCAGTTAACACAGGTTTTGTATTTCTTTTTAGAACTGAGTGATCGTAGGCCTCACTGATCTGAACGTATGCACCTCAGTTTTTAAGTGAACAAAGCATTATTTGTGGATCGTTTGGGCAATGTTCACTCAAAAACTGAACATCCAGCTTCAGCAGAAAAACCCCTCTGGTTGACCAGAACCTGATCAGCATAAACCAGCCTGGACAAGCATTGAAATGCATGTTGGTCTAAACTTGTCTTTTGAGCAGAGATGTGAAGCCACAGACCACATAAGTGAGCTTTTACATAAATACTGCATAGAGGAAGCACACAGGGATATTAAGGAAAGTGAATCACTCACCTCTCGCATCTCTCGCCTGTGTAACCGTCTTTACACAGACACAGAAGTCTGCCATCGGTTTCAGTGCAGCCCAACGCAAAACTGCAGAAAGAGACGCCACATCATTAGTTAACAACATAGATGTTATTTTATTAGGTAAACTTCTATTTAAATGAATAGGGGGCACAACATCCATGTAACTAATGGATATCACCTGACTTCCCCAGCTGATTGATTACATTAAGAATTGCAATTATTATTATTTTTTTTTTGTATTACAGATTTTCTGAAATGTTATGTTTGAATATGCAAATGATGCATTATCCTAGGGGATATTGGACCGAGGGGTATTATTGAGATACTATTATGGTTTTTATTATTTTAAATCAGTTTTATTTTTATTTATTTTTCATTTTCATTTTAGTTAAAGTTTTATGTATAACAGATTGTCAGAGGTGAAATATACTGAGAAATTATAGTTAAATGAAAGAACTTTGTCAAACGTAAAAGCACTCAGACAAAGAAAAATATATATATACCCAAAAGAATAGTTCATCAAAAAAAAATAAAAAATATATTATTATGTACTCAATGCCAGGCTATCACCACATATTAGATTTTAATCTCAAATCTGTCCTGAAACCATTTAACTGAACTTGTATATAGGAATTGAGTTGTTCATAGACTGTACACTTTAGTTGTATTCAGCAATCAATAACTATAGCTTTAGTGATCAATGAAATATTTCTTAATGACCATACAATTTACACTGGAATTAATGCACTGGCTACACAAGTTCATCTACATATCAACATATTTGATTGACAAAAAAAACAAAAAAAAAAACAGCATATATTTTAAGTCATGACTCTGGTACTCTAGAGGTGTAAATAAAAGAGTAAGAATTAAGTGTTAATCACAGTCTACACTTTGTACAAAATAAGAGTATTCACTATAAAAAGTGATTTCAGAATTGTAAATAAAACAAAACAAAAAAAATATTGGAGTACATTTTACAAGGAAATACCATTTCATATCTACTTCAAAATTACACATTTAATTCAATGTGTTACTTGCCATTTTTTGGAATTATTTGTGAAATTACAAGCAACTTCTGAGTGAAAACTGATTCTACAGCACATTTTTGTTTCAGTGCAAGTACTTCACACCTATTTACACAATATAGAATTATGTAAGCTGAATGAAATTATATGCAAAAACTATATTCATCCACCATCACATTTCAATATTAACCCATTTTCATTCACACAAATGCATAGAATTTTTCTCGTTACCTGTGCATCGTCCACTGAAGGGATCTGGATGTGCTGTGCATCGTTGACCGCTGGATACTGAGCTCTCTGAGTCCACTCTGCCTGTTCTCTCTGATGCTGCGCGCTCCTGTGTTCGGGTCTGGGTCCCCCACAAACCAGCACAAGCAGGGCCCCGAGTGCAAGGGCCCTCAGTGCTGCACTCCGCCACGCCACTGATCCTGACATTCCCGTGTGAAATAACTCGTGTTGCGCTCAGGTACGCTCTTCTTAAAGAGGGAGAAAACGCCCCAGACCTCAGATGAACCAGGAAACTGAGTCACGCTTAGCTATGCAAAGAGGTTAGACATGTGCTGCACTGTAGTGTAGTGAAAAACACACACATTCACTCGAGAGAGACCCAAGCACTTTATCAGTGCATTACCAATAGCTGATTTGAACACTTTAGTTTAGGGAACAATTCTTACTTTGCTTATTAGCATGCATATTACTAGTATATTGGCTGTTTATTTGTACTTATAAAGCACATATTAATGCATTATTCTGCATGACCACATTTTAGATCATTTAAGCATACAGTACCTATGCTTAAAAACTACCTTACTAACTACTAATAAGCAGCGAACTAGGAGTTTATTGAGGCATACTTAATAGTTAGTTAATAGTGAGAATTGCTCTTCTAACAAAAGTGTGAACATTGCTTTAATCATTATTTGTTGGCCACACTTTAGTTTAGGGACCAATTCTCACTATTAATCAACAATTAACTATGACTTTTGCCTCAGTAAACGTTCAATGCTGCTTACTAATAGTTAGTAGGTAGTAATATTGTTTAATCCTTTATAACCTATTTGGCCACACTTTATTTTAAGGTCCAATTCTCGGTATTAACAAACCATTAACTAAGACTTTTGCCTCAATAAACTCCTAATTTGCTGCTTGATAATAGTTAGTAAGATAGTTGTTAAGATTAAGTATTTGGTAGGATTAGTTGCCATGCAGAATAAGACATTAATATGTGATTTATAAGTAATAATAAACAGCCAATATGTAAATAATAGGCATGCTAATAAGCAACTATATAGTGTCAATCGGTCCTTAAACTAAAGTGTTTTTTTTTTTTACAGAATTAATTTATTTTAATACAATAAATTAAGATGCTATTTTTTTAGTTAAGTGTGCCTAATGCATTAACTGAGGTATTGCATCACATTTTGTTATTATATTAAATTATTGGTGATACTAGGAAACACATATTCACAATAAACTATGACTTCTCCCTCAGTAATCTCCTGATTTGCTGCTTATTAATAGTTAGTAAGGTAGTTGTTAAGTTTAGGTATGGGTTAGGGTTAATGGATCTAAAATATGCAGAATAAGGCATTAATATGTGCTTTATAAGTACTAATAAACAGCCAATATACTAGTAATATGAATGCAAATAAGCAACTAGTTGGTCCTCAAACTAAAGTGTTACCTTATTTATTATTAATATTTTCTCTCATCTCCCCAAGAAGCTCTAATGGTTGCTATTATGTTGCTATTTCTTTCATTCGTCAGCTGTTTTAACATATCGTTGTTAGTAACTATGACAAACAGTGAGTGTTTAAGACACCGTCACACATTGATCAGAATGATTCACGTTTTTGTTTTCTCAGCTTCCACACCCAGTCTAGAGAAGTCACCACACGTTAGAAAACATGCCCTCCGGTTACAGACTTCACAGCTCTTCTCGTCTCTTTATGGGCACGTCACGAGAAACTAAGTGTGTGTGTGTGTGGCGGGAAGGATATGGATACAGACAGGACTCTGGAAATGCAATACATTCTCAGACATAATAAAGTTACAAAAGCTGTCAGTGTGGCGGTGCCTATTCGAAATGTATCCTTTAGGTGCTATATATAATACCTTCAAGATACTTGTATGCACCATTTAGGGTTAGGGTTAGGGTTCATTTTTATATTTAAAAATATATGCAATATCAAATTAAATATTTATACACACAGACACACACACACAGACACACACACACTCTCTCACTCACACACACACAATAAGCTTGTTTCCTCATGGGGACCTCAAAAATGTCCCCACAAGGTCAAAATTTACTAGTATTACTATCCTTGTGGGGACATTTGGTCCCCATAACGTGATAAATACCAGGTACACATACACACACACACACACTCACACACTCACTCACACACACCACACACACACACACACACTCACATATATATATATATATATATATATGAATGTGTGTGTGTGTGTGTTTGCCTATACAGACATGATTCTCCAAATGCAATAGAAAAGAGTCAAAGACTATGTATTTACAAGTGTATTCAAGTGGCCATGCCTCATTGTGTATGTTACCGCTTTCTTCTAACCTGACTGTACATCCGTTGTGTGTGTGATTCAGATATATTTTGTACTAGGTATCTTGAAATTACTGTGTGATATTAGTGTGCATGGGTGTGATTGGGCATGTCAGTGCAACAGACTGTAATTACGAAACCTAACCTGCAATTTCATACAAAAAAAAACATCAGTGTTTTGATCTACTCCATTCACCATTCTCACCATATTCATACAATTATTCAGATATTCCTTGGCTTTCAGATGAATTTAGGTAATAGCTGGTTTATAGGCTACATATATAAGAACCAGGGAACCCACGGGTGATTAAAAAGGACATGTTAAATAGCATTAAAAAGTCTTAAATATCAGTTATGGAAGTCTTCAATTAGAGAAAGAAGAACTTCACAAGATGTTTGTAATAAAAACTTATTTTGTGTTTGGCTTTTTTATTTTTTTGACTAAAATATATTTAAAATGTTTTGCTGAATATATGTTGTAAACCGCAAAGCTTGATGAAACATACTTTTGAAGTTGAAAATACATTTATTTTCAATCTTCAAACCAAAATATATTTTAAAATGTATTTCAGGGGCAAGAAAATAAATTTCCAGTCTTACAGTAGCCTATAAGGTTTTATTCATTATTTATTTTTATTCAAATGTGTTATATGTTCACAACAAATAAAGATTTTTTTTTTCTTCAACTGCGATTAATGTATTTTCATGGATTTCAATTTATGGAGAGCAAAATATATATTCGTTAAATGCTTTTTTTAAATATATATTTAAAAAATATAGCTTACAATAAATCAGCCAAAAATATAATGGTAGAATAATACATAGGCTTATAAATACTTTTTGAAACATATTTTAGCAACTATATATTTTTGGCTTATTTAGGATCCAGATGTGCAGGGAATGTACGGCTGATGTTCTGTAGAGGAGCTCCGGCAAACTTCATCATCTCATGCTTTCTTTGAAGGTTGTCACTATAAAGTCAGCTTCACCAACATGCACTTGTGCACTAGCGTGTTGTTTTACTGTTAACAGAGTAAATTGTTGAACTTGTTGTACTAAAGGCCAGTCAACATATTGTTTGCTCAAAATAAAACCAAAGTAAATCAATGTCACTCACAAGTCACAGTTTCCCCTGCGACCAACAGATGTCCTCATTTCCCGGTTCATTCAGTTATCAGTTAATAATCAGTTTCCATGGTAAACTATACTGGCCATACTTGGTTAAATCTGTAAAAAGTAAAAATCTGTCTAAAATACAGTTTGTTCTACTAAAGGCCAGTCAACATATTGTTTGCTCAAAATAAAACCAAAGTAAATCAATGTCACTCACAAGTCACAGTTTCCCCTGCGACCAACAGATGTCCTCATTTCCCGGTTCATTCAGTTATCAGTTAATAATCAGTTTCCATGGTAAACTATACTGGCCATACTTGGTTAAATCTGTCTAAGTAAAAATCTGTCTAAAATACAGTTTGTTCTGAGAATATCTAGGTCTGATACCAGACTGTGGTATGATTTATGTTTGATAAATGTCCCATATGTCTTTTTGGATCACAGTTTTTGGACTGTTTGTCCTTATATATATATGTTTTTTCCCCTATGCATGCAATGAAAAAGTATTTTCAGTCCAGCAGTAGCAGCGGGAACTGTTGACAATCACATGTTTTTTTTTTTCTCTCTAGTTGGTTTAGTTTTCAGCTAGTTTTATGGAAGACAGAATAAAGATTACATAGAAAATTACAAAACATCAGTTTTGATCATATTTTGAAGAATGATGGTAACAGTTGCTGGTAGCCATTGACTTCCACAGTAGGGGAAAATACCATGGACGTCAATGGCTACCAGCAACTGTTAAAATACAAATATCAGTAAAAATATCTTCTTTTTTGTTCAACAGCAGAAATAAACTCATATAGGTTTGGAAGAACACGAGGGTCAAAAAAATGAAGACAGAATTTTCATTTTTGGTCCCTATAACTATCCCTTTAAGTCAGACAATGTATGTTTGACATATGTTGTACAGTATGTCACATATATATATATATATATATATATATTTATTTTTTAGACTAATGAAACTGAGGCTGTAAAGGGACTGAAGTTCAGTGTGTTCAATGGATTGTACTGTTGTTTAACAACATGCTAATTGTCCAGCTTTGTTCTGTAATTATACTAGACATTAGTATATTGTGTATTAGTATTTTTTTTTATTTTACACGTTACAGCTTGAATGTGTCTTTTAATAGCATAGCACATGCGCGTTAAATTGCACGCTTCGTCTGAAACTGGATCAGTGGGTCATCAGTGTGTACTGTACCTGTCGCTCTCATACAGCATGTCCTCCACTAACTAATGAGGAAACGTCTGAAACACTCAACAGTGGAAGACCAAACTAAAGCAAGTCTATAGGAGCATTAAAAAGAAAAATAAATAAAGCTTGCATGTATAAGTAAAATGTTTATTATTTAACCTGTAAAGTTGATGTGTGACTATTTTTCTATGTGGATTAACTGGTGTACTGATATAATTCCTGAGGATGAAGATTTCGTCTATTTCAAAAGTGCTAATAGATGTTTTTACAAACTGAGCGATGAGTCAAAATAATTGTGTGTGGGAAATGACAGCATGCTAGAGATGCTGTAAAAGAGAGCGCAACTCAGAATACAATGGGACTAAAGCCTGTTGGTTAAGAGCAACAAAACCCACCGCAACACTTTCCTGAATAGTTTCCCAATATGCACTGCAGAATATTTAATCATCCATTAATATATTAATATTAATATCATGTGTTATGTTCCCCTGTGGTGAGAAAATAAAATGCACAATAAATCAATAGTTTTTCAGTTACTGTTGAAAAATGTAAAATGTGGTATTT